ACTTGAGGCCCCCGCAGGGCCCTCAAGCGGCCAGCGGTGGCCACGCCGTCATCACCGAGGCTCTAGTGGAGGGCACCACTGCCCCCGTTCTGGTCAAAGTGGAGACAGTCAGATGGCGCCAAGGGCAAACTGCATATACACAGACTATGAGGAAGGCACTTCCTGTGGAAAATCAGACACACCTGTGGGGGAAGGGCCTGGAAGGTGCGCTGGGTGACAGTGGCCGTCTGCAAGCCCCTCTGCTAAATTAGAGAATTCAGAACAATACATGAAGGTAGGGATAAAAGGAGGTTTTACAGCGACGAAGGGGGCAAGAGATGAAGACGACAGAAGCCCTCAGTGTCCAACGCGCCTAACAGCATGGCTGGAAACTGTGCGAAGCACAGACAGGCTCAGGAAGAGAAGCAGACAAATCCACGGTCACAGTCGTCAGCGCCTAGTAAGCAGGGCGGCGGGCGGAAGATCAGTGAGGGTACCAAGGCCTGACCAGCACCAGCCACCACCTGAGCCTGAGTGACAATTATAGGACACTCTTACCCAACAACACATGGACACACTCCTGTCAAACACACAGGGACACACACGGGACACACCACATCTCCGAGTGTGCGGCCGGTCCTGATGCACATGTAACAGCGGAAACCATATGGAACGCTCTCTGGCCACAAGAGCACTAAACCAGAACTTAATAACAGAAAGGTATCTGGAAACAAAGTGAATTATTTGAAAATCCAGCAACACTCTTCTAGGCAACCCTTAGTTAAAGAAAAAACCACAAAGGAAATTGGAAAATATTTTTAAATGAGTAAGATGAAAATACAACATATGTAATATCGTGTAAGTAAAGCAACACACAGAGAAAAATTTATAGCAATAAACACCCGTTACTAGGGAAGAATAAAGGTCTCAGGGTCAATGATCTAACAAAAGCAAATTAACCCCAAAGCAAGGAAAAGAAAGGAAATAATAAAGATGGGCAAAAATCAATTAACTCAACATTGAATACATAGAGAAGATGAATGAAATCAAAATCTGGTTCTTTGAAACGATCAATAAAATTGATTATCCTCACGGTAGGACTAGTCAAGCATGAAACGGAGAAAACACAAGTTAGCCACATCAGAAGCGAGAGGCAGTGTTACTACCGACCACACAGGTGTTCGAACAGGGAGGGAACGGTATGGACAACCTCATGCCAATAAACTCCACGACTCTGATGAAATGGGTAAGTTCCTCGAAAACACAAATGATCAAATTTGGCTCATGTGAGAAGCAGCAGAAACTGGGCGATTCTGTGACCTTCTGACACTGTGACACGTGACATGTGATGCTGGGACATGTGATGCTGTGATCTGTGACATGTGACATGTGACATGTGATGCTGTGATGTGACGTGTGACACTGACGTGACACTGATGTGTGACACTGTGACGTGTGACGCTGTGACGTGTGGTGCTGTGCTGTGACATGTGACACTGACATGACACTGATGTGTGACACTATGACATGTGACACTGACTGTGACACTGACGTGTGACACTGACGTGTGATGCTGCGACATGTGACACAACATGTGATGCTGTGACGTGATGCTGTGACGTGACACTGATGTGTAACACTGACGTGTGACATTGTGACGTGTGATGCTGTGATGTGTGACGCTGTGACGTGTGATGCTGTGACGTGTGACACTGCAGCACATAACACTGTAACATGTGACACATGTCATGGCAACGTTAAAGAAATCGTAGTTTCAAATTTTCCCACCATGAAAATGCCAGCTTGGGGGGCACCTGGGTGGCTTAGTTGGTTAAGCGTCCGACTTTCGCTTGGGTCATGATCTCGCGGTTCGTGGGTTCGAGCCCTGCATCGGGCTCTGTGGAGCCTGTTTTGGAGTCTATGACTCCCTCTCTCTCTGACCCTCCCCTGCTCACGCTGTCTCTCTCTCTCTCTCCTAGAAATAAATAAAACGTTAAAAATAAAATTAAGAAAAAAAAAAGAAAGAAAGAAAATCCCAGCTCGGATGCTTCCTTGGTGAATTCCGCCACATATTTAAGGAAGAACAATACCAGTTCTACACACAAAACAGGAGAAGAAAATAATTCCCAACTCGATTTGAGATTTACTTTATGGGTACGCCGGGCACGGCAGTTGGGTATCACGTAAGGAGAGACCCAGGTCAGTAGAGACGAGTCAGCACCCAGGTGAACGGTCAGTGGCTTCCAGACAGGAGTGTCAATGTCAGGGTGACTCGACCATCTCAACCAACGGGGACGGACAACTGGACATCCACTGAGCCCGACCCCAAATTAGCAAAGCTCAGAACCAACTTGGCCTGGCCCACAGCCTCAAACGCAAATGCCAGGACTGGGCCTCTGGGTGAGGACTTTGCGGGTGGGTACAGAGAACAGAAGTCCCAAAGGGAAACGCTGATAACGTCGAAATATTAAAAACTTTCAAAGTAGACACAGCTAAAGTAAAAGGCAGCCCAGGGGCACCTGGGGGGGCTCAGGACATCATCTCATGGTTTTCGAGACTGAGCCCCATGTCGGGCTGGGTGCTGATGGAGAGATTCTCCCTCTACCCCCCTCTTTCTCTCTCTTTCTCACAAATAAACTTAAAAAAAACTTTTTTAAAAGGCAGTCCAGAGCCCGGGGGGAAGAGGTCTGCAGTCCAGGTGTCAGACGGGCCCCTTGGACAGAGACGAGAACAGCATGTGCAGCATGGGAAGAGGAGACACCAAAGGACACTCAGGGACCTGTGCGTGGACACTACAGTGGCAACCGCCTCTGCACAGCCCACCTCACCCACCCCGCCCCCAGCCCCGCCCCCAGCCCGCCCACAGCCCCGCCCACAGCCCGCCCACACAGCCCCGCCCACAGCCCCGCCCCATACAGCCCCACCCCAGCTCAGCCCCATACAGCCCCGCCCCAGCTCAGACCCATCCAGCCCCGCCCACAGCCCCCCCCCCAGCCCGCCCACACCCGCCCGCTCACAGCCCAGCCCCAGCCCCGCCCCATACAGCCCCGCCCACATACCCGCCCCATACAGCCCAGTACAAGATCAAAATCAGCCCAAGGGGTGGAATGAAGGGCAAGCGCAAGCAGGCTGGTGGCTGCAGGACCCGATGGTCGGACAGCCACTTTGGTAGTTTATTAGAAGTTTAATCTAACCCAACCCCCAACAAGAGTGACAACACCTGTCGATGCAAAGATTTTATACGAGTGTTCCCAGTACCTCCACTGGCCACAAGCTGGAAACCACGAAGCCGTCCATGGAGGGCGGGGGTCCCGGGACCTGGACACTGGGCGGCCCTCCAGCACCCCCGCCCTCTGCAGGGACAACGGACGCTCCTGGGCAATCAGACCCGGGGAGGCAGCCCACCAAGCGTCTCCATGCAGGTGCCCGGCAGCCTCTGCCCCCAGCAGCGCCCAGCTCCACACCTGCTCCCGCCGCCCGCCCTTCATCTCGTGGGGTCCAGAGGCAGCTGCTGCGGCAGCCCAGCCAGCAGGGCTGAGGGACCCCAGAGAAAACCCCGGGAGGGGGTGCTGGAGCCGGAGGGGCCGGAGGGCAGCGCTGCGAGGAAGTGAGGAAGGTGTGCAGCTGAATGCGCCAGCACCCGCTACCCTTGCGGGGATAAGTGCAGGCCCAGGAGGCAGAGGGAGGCCCGAGGGGCCAGGCAGGTCTGCGAGGCTGCGAGCGGGCTTCAGGCTGGAGGGACCAAGGACGGGGTGGCCCCGAGCTCGGGGTGGGGGCAGCGCTCTGCTCCTGGCGGAGGGAGGCACGCGTGCGTCAGGGTCCATCCAGGAGGAACTCGGGGAGCCGTGAGGGAGGCACAGGCTTGCTGGGCGCCCCCCACTGACCACAGCAAGCCACGCGCAGGCGGCCCTCAGCCTCAGGGTCCCGCTGCTTGGTGGCCCAGCCGGCACACAGGCAGGGCACGCAGCTTCCAGGCCAACAGGTGCCACTGGGGACACCACGGCAGCTGCGCCCAGACCACCGCCTTGCCCGCCACCAATGGAGACGGTGTCCCACGGCGTGGGGCTGGCAGGGGCGACGGAGGCAACGCCCGTCCTGTCTGCTGCAAACATGCGTTTGCTGCCGTTTTATTCCGAACGTTGTGTATTTTCTGCCCTGTTTCGAAGTCAAACCCTAGGCGAGGACTTAGACACGGTCCTCAGGACCTAACACCAGCACCCTCGACGACCGAGGAGGCACGCAAATGACCCGCCTGCCCCCACGCCTCCCTCGTACCTCCTGTCCCCTCTCCCTCCCCACAAAGCCCCACCCAGCAGCCCTGTGCCCTGCGTGCTGCCCCCGCTGCTGTGTGCGTCCCCAGGACCTGCACCTGTCTGGGCCCCACCCACGGGGCTCCCCAACGCCCCACTGACCTCCATGGGCCCCCTGTGCCCGACAGGAGCCTTCAGGCAGTGACCCCCACAGACAGCACGCCCCAGGGAAAGCCAGGTGCCCCCCACCTTCCCGCGCATCCTGACACGGGGCCGGCTCCAGACGTTACGCCAAACCCCAGCTCTGCCACCCGGGTCGTAAACCAGAAAGTGCACAGGGGCGACTGATCTCACACACAGGCTGAGAGCCCGGGATGGGACAGGAGAGCAAAAGAGGGACAGACGGTGACGTGGGGGACACACGCAACCCGCGTATTTCAGGTGTGTGCGCGTACGCGGGAAACTCGTTTCCTCCCGTGGCCCATGGCCCAGAGGCGGGAAGCAGAGTCCTCAGAGGATCTCCGCGTCTGGTGCCGCTCCCAGCTCTGCAGCCGCGGCGGTCAGGGCCAAGGCGCATTCACCGGCTTCACCCGGACATTCAGAAGGCTGTCCCCGCGTGGGCAGGTGAGTTCGCTGGGGCAGGAGCCTCGGGAGGTGGGAGGCGGTGCAGGTGGGGAAGCAGGAAGAGGAGGAGGGGAGGAGGGCGTGGCCACGGGCAGGCCACCACGGGCCTGCGCTTCCGCTGGCCAGACGCCCGGGGGAGGCACTCACCTCTGAGCGGCTCCAGGCTGAAGCCGTCGGGGGGCGGGGCCTGGCAGGAGAAGGTCCTGGCCACCAGCTGCTCGACGGGCGTGAGGGCCGAGGCCCAGAGCCGGCCGGGACCGTGCGCCACGTGGCGGAGGGTGCCCAACTTGCGCCGCACGACCGCGCGCAGGTCCCTCCACTTGTGCTTGAGGTCCACGATGTCCCGGCGGCAGTAGCCCAGGGCGTTGACGGCCTGCAAGATGCGGCTCCACACGCGGTACCTGCGCGTGGGCTCGGCCCTCAGCAGCCCCGGGCCAAACAGCAGCTGGTGGTGCTTGCTGACCTTGGACACCAGGACCTCCGTCTCCTGCGGGCAGAAGTTGGGCTTCCTCTTCTTGGCCCGCGTGGCACCGGGCCCTGCCAGCCGGCCGTGAGCCCCGCCGGCAGAGTCCCTCCTCCTCAGGCTGGTGGTGGGTGGTGAGGTGGGCTCCCTGCCTTCGGGGGCGGCCCCCGGCCCTGGAACGGCACCGAAAGGTGGGTGTGTCAGGCCCTGGGGCTGGCGGGGTGGCCCCCAGGGCGCCTCCTCTCCGCCTTTGGCGTCGGACACTGCCGCCCCCTCCCCACGTGTGTCCACAGGTCTAACTGGGCGCCATGGGCAAGGGGCTTCACTTCCAGGCTACAGGGGGCGTCTCCAGAAAGGGCCTCTGGCGGCCATCGTCTGGAGCTGAGGAAGGAGACGAACAGGAGAGGCCATCTGTCCACGGGGAGAAGGCCTCTGCCAGGTCATCCCTTCCCTAGGGACAGGACACACCCTGCCGCCCTGGCTGAGAGCCCGCGCCCTCCCCCCTCCCCGGCCGTGAGAACGCCAGTGAGCGGCTTCCGCCCCTCTGAGCCCCCACAGCCTCCGGTCCTCAGCACACAGGGGTCCCAGGGCCAGGCGTGCAAACACTGCCAGGTCCTCGGACCTCTGCCCACCTGGGGGCTTTGTCACCAGCCAGCACATGCCTGCAAGGGGCAGTGGGGCCGGCGGGGACATCTGTAAGGGCCAAGGAGGCAGCTCCCCATCAGATCATGGGTTTCCCCTACGGGCAGAGGGACATCTGAGCCCCGGGAAGCACAGCCCCTGCCTCTCCCTCCGGGTCCCCATCAACCAGAAGGCGGCCTCCACAGAGGCCCACAGCCCTGCCCTCACTGCAGCGCACGTCAGGGACCCGCTCTCCCTCACCAGCGCCCCCTGTGGGGAGAACCCAGGCTCTGGAGTGAGGGTGCCACGTGAACCAGCCCCACAGAGCTGAGCCTCATCCCTCATCCCATGGGGCCCTGACAAGCACAAGTCATCCCACAACACCCCTCTGCCACCGGCTCGGCCCAGCCATGTCATCTCTTGTCCCTGGGGAAGGGAAAGGGTAGCAGGGGTGAGGGTACAGACCGAGCAGAATCCCGGGCAGCCTCAGGCCGCCTCGCCCAGTGCCCGCCTGCCAGCCCTCCCTCCTCGGCACCTGGCATCTCTGGGTGGCCTTCCCTGAACCCCCCGGACCCAGCACCCGAGCGGAAGTACCTCGCTTCCTGGCCCCTGGGCCTCTGGGCGTGCCTGCTGGCCCCAGGTCGCCTTCCCCATCCTTGCCCACACAGGGGTCCTGCGGGCTGCTCCCTGGCGACGGGCAGGGGAAATGGCGGATTCCATACTCGGTCCAACACTTAGCGCACTCTACAGACAGCAAGGGATAGTCAGTTACACCCCGCCTGCACACAAAGCAGCTGAGGTGCTGCTGCCAGAGCACGGCCCCCATACAGGGCAGCAACTGTCCGGATCCCTCCAAGCACCCATGCCAAGAAGCTCCATTCAGCCCCACCTCCTCCAGGAAGCCCTCCCAGACTGCTGCACCCTCTGCTGGAGACCAGTACCGAGTTCAATACTTTAAATGTTCCAGATCTGTCTTTGAATCACAATTACTCTAAGAGGTGACCCCAGGCAAAGACGACAGCCCCTAGAGAAGGGCCCTCAGGTGCAGCCTACAGACCAGGCCAGGCCTTCCGCAGTGTCACGCGTCTGCAGCAAACAACGTACAGAAATGGAGAGGAAGGCCTTAGGGACGTTTACGGCAGTTCAAAACCACGCTGGCACCCAAGCATGCGGCTGTTCTGGCATGAAAACGTTGGTCCGTGGCATCTGGGCAGCGAAAATAAATCTAAAACCCGGCTCCCGGCCGCAGCGTTGAGGGGCAGTGGCTCCGGGCACCTGGGTGCCTCCTCCCGCTCCCCGGCCCCCCCAGGCTCCCTGCACGGGGCTGGCCCTCAGCAGAGATACTTAGTTTCCTCCCTGGTCACCCTCATGGCTCAGACACACTTCCTGGCCGCGTTTCGCTGGAACCTGTCGGCCCGAAGACACGCCTTATAAAAACATCTTTACACCTCTGAGAGACGTGCCCTTCAATCCGTGGCACCTTGAGTCAGTGAGGGGGTGCGTGCAGGCTGGGGCCACACATACCAGAGCCCGGGGCCATCTACGTGACCCTGTTCTCTCTGGGGCTCTCTCTGAAAAGACAGTTTCCAGGGAGCAACTCCAGAAGGCGCTGGCTGACCTCAGCACGCCGCCCGCCTCCCTGAGGCCCAGGGGACACGGCCTGTCCTGGGCCAGTCCCAGCTCGGATCTCCTGAAGGGGCGGCTCCTCCCCGGAAATGGCCTGGAACTTGCATCTCCCCAAAGGAGGGACAGCAAAGGACACTATGTCCTCGGGGAGGGGGGACACTGCAGCCCAGCGTGAGGGGGACAGAAGGACTTTACCAAGCCATCCCCCTGGGACCCCACCTGAAGGGGAGAGGTCTCCAGGCAGCAAGGACCCAAAGCCCGCAGGCAGCGCGTGGGCCCCCCCAGCCAGCCTGGGGGGGACACCCCTGGGGAGGAGCTCCCACCGCTCCAGGAAGGTGGCCTTGGCCTCAGCACCAGCGCCATCAGGGAAAGGATGGGGGACGGCAGGGTGGCAGCCGGCTCACTCGGGTGAGGCCCCCAGGAACAGAGCACCGCGGCACAGCCCGTTCCCGAGTCAGAGTGAGAGAACTCTCCTCCATGCCTGGGGAGGCGGACACGGCCCCGATGGTCACAACCCGTGCGAGAGAGGCGGGGCCCAGGGCTCCCACGCAGGCGTCCCAGTGGGTCTGGCTACGAGCCGCCAGCACAGGGCCCATCTCCCATGCACCCTCCCTCTTCCTGAAGGGTGTCGTGGGAGCCTGCGGGGCGGGTCCTCTCCCTGGGTCCCAGCCAGGCGCCGCTACAGGCGCTCGTGCCACAGAGGTGTGTAAGGAGGAGGTACACACTGCCCAGAGACCGTCAGCTTCGGGCCCCGCAGAGCCCTGCTGTGGGTGGTGGGGAGACCCGAGGCCCAGCTGGCAGCCCCTATCACCAGCCGATGACCTCGCTACGCAGCCATCTGGTCACGGCAAGTCCAGGCCCTGCTGGCTCCGCGTGGTCCTCCAACCCCTGTGGAGGGGTCCGTGTAGTCTGCCCTCCGGAATCACAGAGCCCTTGAACTTGAGGGGTCTGGAGAACACACGCAGTTACGGGGAGAAGCTGTAAGCAGCCGACTGTGAGGCAACGGCAAGTGTCATCCGTAACAACGACATCCGCTGGTGAGCGCCATCGCTGGGGGGGGGGGGGTGGGACGTGCACAGCTAGAAGACTCCGGACACGTCTCTGCCTCCGCAGTCAGCACACCCGTCCCCACGTGTGGACATGCACAGAGGCCTCCCAGCGACCTTCAGCCGATGCTACGACCTCACCACGGCCGACGTGGGCTACGCCCCCACCCAGTCCCCCTCGGCGGGTCCTCCGCCCGCCAGTGCTGACTTAGCTGACTGAGCCTCCCAGGCTCCTCCTGCTTTTTTAAAAAACCACTTACCATGTATGTGAACGAGCAACAAAGATTTGGAACACATACTATTCACATCGGTACCGCTGCCACTGCAGCAAAAATACGTTTTTGTTAAAACTAACTTCGTAAAAGATACGCAAGATCTTCACAGTAAAAGTCGTAAGATTTCACTGAATGATACGAAAGAAGATCCCAGAAAGAGGACGGCGCACACACTCGCGGCCTGCAAGCCCACGGGCCACGAAAGCCCAGGCCTCACCTGCACCCTGAGTCAGCGCAGCACGCGCACGGCGGCCCCGCCACTGCTCTGCACCCGGGAAGCCGTCTAAAGTTTATGTTTAAGAGCAAAGGGGCAGAAACACCGGAGCAATGTCTGAGGAAAAGCAAGTCAAGCAACTTCTGTAAAAAACAGCAAAAACTGTAACCGTCAAAACTAAGGCAGAATTATGCCCAGAAAGAGGAAACCTGACCAAGGGAACCCACGCGGGAATGGGCACAGGGCCTGGCTCCGCGGGTCTGCGGGAAAGGGTGGCATCTTCGGCGACTAGTCCCAGGAGGAGAGAAACAGCATCAAGGCCGCACCCCCTCCCCCACCCATCGCTGGGGGCACAAGTTCAGGGGCGTGAAAGACTCACCCAGGAAAACCAGTCTCATCAGCTTCAGGGGAAAGGAAGCCGTAGTGGATGGAGCTGGGATTTGTCCCACTGAACAAAGATGCACAGGTGACAGTGACCCCCGGCAGGCTCAGGCGCCCTGCCACCCACGCCCGCCCAGCAGGCGCCACAGCGAGAAGCCGGCCCGAGCCGGGCAGAGACGCGTAGGGCAAGCGGACGGCGGGTCCTGTCCAAACGCATACGGGGCCCTCCCAAATCAGCAAGAACACGGCAAACCCATGAGAAGAGTACACGGAAGGAGTGACCAGCTGGAGACAGAATGGGTCCCTCCCAGCGGCCACCAGAGAAAGGGGATTAAAGCCGCAAGAGACTACTCCCCACCCACAGACTGCAAATAGTCACCGTCACCACCGGCCACTCAGGGTGACGAGGACGGGGTGCCAAGGGCACTGGGGCGGCACCGCGACAGCGCCCAAAACAGCCGGGCACAGCGGCCCTCACACGTGGGCACGCACGGGGACCACGCAGCCACGGAGAAGGACACGGCAAGGGGAAGCTACGTCCGCCGTCAGGGACTCAGGAGCAGAGCCGGCGAACTGCAGAAAGATACAAACCGTACGGGTCCACGAACAAAGTTCTGGGCTGTGTGAAGGCAGCAGGGGCCCTGTGGGGACACACACACACTGACAGACACACACGGACACACACGTGCGTGCGTGCATACGTGCATAAGCAAAACTCAGAAAAAGAGCAAGGAAGCCGGGAGCACAGCATCAGAGTGAGGGTGCTGGGCTGGCACGAGGGGACTCGGGAGCCCATGAAGCGGGCCCTGCTCTGCCCGCCACCTGCTGCACGGAGCACAGACCAGACTAGGTCATCCACCCGCTCGGCCGTTGGCCGGGTACCCCAGGGACCCCCTGACCAGCTCTGCGCACCTGTTGAGTGCCAGCCTGGGGCCACAATGGCCCCAGACACCAGGTCTGCCCCCGCGGCGGTTGCCTCTCCCAGTGCAGTCTCTCCTGGTGCCGAGCCCCCTGCCCCAGCCCCTAGCCACAGGCAGGGCCGCCCCCACAGCCCGCCACCCCGCCACCATCCCGACACAGCAGAGACCGCCCACTGCCAACCCCGCCACCTTCCCAATGCCTAGAGCCACTGTCATTACCTAGGGGCTGACAGCCTTGTCTGGAGGGTCCCCCCAAAGGGCTCTGGCTCCCCAGGCCACTACTGCCAGCGATGGATCCGTAGGACATCTTTGCACAGAGAGCAGGGCCACTGCTTCCCACGGAGCTGGAGGAGACAAAGAGCAGGTCAGGAGGGAGGAGAGGAGTTAGCGCTCAGGGTCACTCGGGCCCTGCTGCCCAGCCCAGCAGCCTGGTTCCACACTGTCCCACTCCCCCCCTCGCCTGCGTCTCAGTTCAGCTGGGCTCCGCCCAGCCCAGGGTGCAGGGGCCCACCGAGCCCCTTCCAGGTGCCTGTCTGTCCCCTGTCCTCAGAAAGAGGAAGCTGTCCCCTGCACAAGCCCAGCCATGCCAGGCTGAGGACCCACGGGGCTTGTGTACCCGCCTCAGGCTCCAGCTCAGTCCTCCTGGGCCTCAGGGCACGGCGGGAGGGCTGCGGCGAGGCTGCCTGGGCCGGACCCACCTCAGCACGTGCTATCTGGGACGGGACACTGACCCTCTGTGGGCTCAGCGTCCCCATCTGTAAGATCAGGGTGACGCGAGGCCCTGGGCCCCAGGCCCGCAGTGAGCAGTGAGGAACACACGCACTGACACACACTTTCACAGCTCTCTCGGAACACAATCGCCTATACCTCCGCCCGGACACAACACCAGCCGTCCCGGATGCAGGGACTTGACCCCTGCCCACCCGATCTGCTCCTCCGGTGACCCTCAACTCCAGGACGGCAGGGGACACACCTCCAGACATGCCCCCCCCCCCGGGAGGACGGCGGAGGGGACACCTCCAGATATGAGCCCCCCCCGGGACCCTGCAGCAGCATCGGCTTCCTGGGCACCCTCGCACATGCCGCGTGCACGCAGAGACCCACTGTGACCCACAGAGCGCTCCCAACAGGCCGGGCTGCCTGCACATCGCAGCCACTACTCCACAGCCCCGGACGAAAGCCCAGGCGACAAGGCAGGACCTGCGAGCTCACAGGCGGCAAGGGACAGCCCCAAGCTCCTGGGGTCAGCGGGCACCCTCGGAGCAGCTGCTGAGCCGTCAGGCCAGCCAGGGCCCCTCCAGCCAGGAACCACCCCGCACCCCAGAGGGCCTGGTCTACGGGGAGGACATCTACCATACTATGTGTCAGAATTAAAACAAAGTTTTAAAAATAATATTGATTCATTTTAGAATAATAGTAAATCCGGGACCTGTTAAATAAATACGTAACTTTATGAAACACAACTGCATTTGCCCGAACAGAACAGCCTGGCGGGAAGAGAGGGCTGCCCGACTCCTGGCTGGTCTGCAGGTGGCTCGGCAAGCACGCTGGGTCTCACGGCTGCTTGTGGCTGCGACACGACACTGGTCACAGCGGGTGACGAAATCTGGCCCCAAAGGGCAGCTGTCAGAGGGGCCTGGGGACCCCGCACTTGCTCCAAGGAGCCCCGGCCTCGGACCCCGGACGCCTGCCCAGGTCACCACTGGCCTTCACTTCCTGGACGCCTCCAGAGGGGAGACGGGCCACGGCGGGGACGAGCCAGCAGCAAGAGAGAACGCAGGGGTGTCCACCAGCCTGGAGGAGAGGTCTTGGCGTGCTCGCTCGCCGGCACCCGACGGCCCAGGCCGCATGGGAACCCATCAGATGTGGATGCACGGGACACAGCCTGGAGGAGGCGGCGCTGGGAAGAGCAGCGGATGGGGAAACGGCGCACTGGCGCCCGGAGCACCGAGAGCGCACACACGCCCCTGCGTGCCTCCGCAGGTTTGCACGCCATCTTCACGAGCAGCTGGGAGGACCCCCCACCACTGCTCAGGCTGCAGACAAGGGTACTGAGGCACAGATGGTAAGGCGCCCAAGGCCACACAGCTGGCAGAGAAGGGTTTCGGATCTCACAGGGCGACCCCGGTGCCCCTGATCTCCCCACGTGGCCTCCCCAAGAGCAAATCCAGGCCACCATCCCTGCAGACAGGAGGCACCCCCCAAAGCCCCACAGGACACTGTCTCGGCGCCCAGGGCACATCAAGGTGCTGAGGACACCACGGCACCCAAGTGCAGTGCTCAGCGGAAAGGCGCTGGGGCGGCATGGGAGATGCCCGCCCAGGAAGCAGAAGAAAAGACAAACTGGGACTGGGGGCCAGGATGGGCCCTGCTCCTACATCCGAGGGACAGGAATCGTGGGGACAGAGCAAACCAAGGGAAAGGGATGAGTGACTCAGAAACTCAAGGCAAAACTGAGTGGGGCACCATGCAGTGTGGCTGGGCAGCCCGCCTGAGCCATGAGGACAGAACCCGAAACCACGGCGGCCCCCTGAGGACACAGAAGACACTTCCTGACACGGCACAGGCCCTTCCCTGCCCTTCCTGGGAGAGAACAAGAGTCCACACTCCACCTAAGACAGAGAACCCAGGAAAACAGGCATGACTGCCTGCGGCACAAGCCAGGGTCCTGGGGCAACGGACAGAGGCCAGGTGCTCTAGCTTGGCCAGGGGTCAGGGGGACGACTGGCTGCGGGCAGCAGAAGATTCCAGAGAGACTTCCCTGGGAAGGTGCAATCACGACCGTGGCATCTGGACACAGCCGAGCCCCAGGGAAACATGATGAGTGAGAAACAAGGGCGGTCCCGTGTCACGGAGCCTCAGCCCCAAGACGGCAGTTAGGAAAGGCCTCATTCGCCTGCCAGTGAGACCCAGCATGGAGCCATGCTGGGGGAGGGCAGGCGTGTGCGCACACTCGAGTGTGCGCACACAGGTGCGTGCGTGTCTGTGTGCTCAAGCCTGTGTGCACAGGTGTGTGCGTGCCTGCGTGTGAGTTCACACACGCGTGTGAAAAGACACTTCAATCCTCATCTTGCGAGACGGTAAGTAAACCACCATCGAAAACGATGAAGTAGTGGACTCAGAGAGGAAAATGGAGCCACGTTTTTCTAAAATAATCACATAAGGCTTATTGTTTCCCCAAACTTTCTACACGTATAACCTAAAATATTAAAGCTTCATTTTTAAGGTTCCAACGAGATCATCGTCCAGAGAGAGGAGTTCGGAAACGGCGGCTGCGGGGTGTCTGCCTTGAGCAGGCGACCCAGGCAGGGCCAGCACTTCCTTCAGATGCCTGGACGGCGACCCGAGTCATCAGGCTGTCCTGGGGCTGCGAGGCCCAGGCAGGCACTGGGCACTGTGTCCAGTGAAGAGTGCGGGCCCAGCCGCGGGGACATGAGCATCTGTCAGGAGTCAGCCAGAATGTCCGATGGAGAGGGCTCCCACGGGCAGGCTTGGGGACCTGGGGGCATGGCCCCCCAGAGGAAGCAGCTCAAGAGGGGTACGAGCCGGCATGGGGAGGACCGGGCTGGAAGGGAGGGGCGGCCCGCACACAGGAGAGCCCAGGGCCCACCGGAGGAAGTGAAAGAGGCTACAGGAGGTGGGGAGGGGGGGCAGCACAGGGACCCCCAGCCCAAGCCCACAATGTGCCAGCACAGGGAGGGCAGCGAAAGGACAGAGGGGCAGAGCCCCCAGCACCACTGATGCGGGCCAGGGGTGCTGCCCTCGGCTGCATCCGGGCAAGTGAGGGCAACCAACGGCCCGTCCATGGAGGCAGGAAACAGAAAAGACCATCTGGCTCGTGAACTCATTTTGCTGGGCATCGCCTGGAACGTGTGCCACCAGCGTATGCCTACCAGGTAGGGGTGAGGCTGCCTCACTGCTGGGGCCACCCGGGGGCACCGCAGCCTGAGGACCAGGAACACCCAACACCAGTGCCCGTCCTTGGCCCACCGCTCTGGCCCCTGGGGGACCCGGAACCCAGCAGGCCCATCCCCCATGGCTGGGGGACAGCAAGGGGCTGTGGGCACACACTCAGGTCCCCCAGGCACCCTGCGCCCGGGCTGCGCCATCGGCTCCCCCATGCCGCTCCCACTCACCCCCACCCGCAGCCAGTTCAGCCCCGACTTTCAAGGGCCAAGGGCAGGCCAGGGCAGCGCTGGAGCCAGACGGGGAGGGGGAGCAGCTGGACAAAGGCCGTGGTGGCCACCGGTGTCCCCAGGAGGGCGGAAGCGGCAGCACGGCCAATGGGAGGGCCAGGGAGGAGGGGGTGCTGACAGGCTGCAGTGCCCAGGACGGCCCCGGACGGCCTTGGAGCTGCCAGGGGCCACGGGGACACGGTCTCCTCCCAAGCAGGCCCCCCGCCAAGCGGCTTCCTTGAGCCACAGGCTCCTGGGGCCCCACGCGCCCGGGGCTGGCGCCAGGCTCCTCGCCAGCAGCCTGAGGAAGCCATCTGTCCTCGCACTGCCCGGATCCTGCCTTTAGGGCAGCAGAGGAAGCGGGGGTGCCAGGGAACGCCCCGGGAACTTGGCCCTGCCCCCAACACAAAGCCCCCAGGCCCTGGGGGAGAGAACGGATGGACAGCGGGACGCCCTGGACCCTGGTCGAGAGATCACCGGACACAGCTCCAGGCTGGGCTCCAACGGCCTGGACTAAGGGCCAGGAAGGGCCGCCTATGCCCCGGATGGGCTCCCGAGCCGGACACGACCTCTGCCTGCAGCTTCCACCCATCGGCCTGGGGCATCAGAGGCAGCGGATCCCCGAGATCACGGCCGACCTTGCTGGCAGCAGAGAAAGGACAGTATTTTCTAGATGGGGAGTGGGGGGGCCCTCAAGCTGAAGGGGACCCTAAGGATGGAGAGCAGGGGTCCATTTTCTCAACGGTGAAATGGGCGGCTGTCCAGCCCTCAGTGGACTAAGTGAGTTCATCCCTGGGTCTCCATTCGCTGGACCTCTGGCCACACTGTGCCGGGGACACGGTGCGCTCAGCACCCACAGGGGCCCTGCCTGCGGGGCCTCGTGATCCAGCTGGGCACAGACAAGGAAGGAGGCCGGGGACCCTGCCTCACCCCCACCCAGACCTCGCCCTGCTGACAGCCCTGGGGACCTGGCCCTCAGGCCTGCGCTCTGGCCCTGGGCGCTTCCTTCACCCGAGTCTCTGCTCCTCTCTACCCTGTATCGATCCCAGGGCCCACTCTTGGGAGCCCTCCCTTGCCCTTCTTCCCCACCCCCGCACAACCACTACCCTGGTTAATCCACCCTTCCTGGCAAGACTGCACCCACCCTCCCCTGGGGGACCCAAGTGGGT